TTGTTGTGTTCTCTAAACTTCCCTTCAGTAGGATGAACGACATCTGATGGGACATAAATGAAAAGGTTTCCTAGTTAGAATAATTTTACATCGTAGTAATTTATTCAAAGGTCAGTGAATGCGGTTTCCTTGAGCTTTATCCTACAAAGGCTAGGTAGTTCATAGCAGCAGGTCTAATAATGGTGAAATGCACAAAGAGAAACATATCTTGAGATTAACAAAACAATAAAACAGTTTTCAGTTTAACCTTCCAGCTGATTCTTAAGGAACTCTTTTAAATCTCCTTTAACAGCAAGTTGTCACCAGACAACAAAGATGTGCTGGACTAGACCTTCAGCTAACACAAACCAGTTTTCTCCTAAAACACAGTTTATCTAGGCTGGGGTGTCAGGGGTGGGCGCAGGGAGAAGGATTAACTTTTTATTATTTGTAACTCACAGCACATTTTTTCAGACCAAGCTAGCTCTCTCTCAGGACAGCAACCACATAAAAAGCATTAAAGCAACATTAGTTACATAGGGGTTCGGGGTTTTTTTTCTTTCTTTGCCTTACTTTTTCGTTATTATCTAATAAAAAAAATTTAAAAAGAGGGAAACCCTTATAAATCAGTGTTAGAAAGTTAAATGATACCATACTGCATCTCTAGGAGTAGTGCAGCCAAAATAACAAAGTACCTAACAATGATTCTCATAGGTGAATGATTTGAACCACCTAAGTATTTTTGATTGAACAGCAAGCACTGTCTAGAAGTTTGCATACACAGACCCTTTTATTTTAAAGTTCTCTACTGATGACCACACCTCAATAGTAGCCTTGGCTTATTGGGCATGGCTGGGTACACATACCAATTGTCATGTCAGCACCTGAGACCAAATATAACAATATTCTAATATATTCATCTAAATAATTGCTAGATGGGAGGAAGGATATGGGAATGGATTAAACTGTGTTCAGGACTAAGTCCTCTGCTAAAAATCAGAGTACTTGCAGATCATCTAGGCACTTACATTTTCTCCTTTTTATAATTTAATCCCACTAACATCTTCCCCCCCCAGTAATCTGTGGCTTAGTTATTGTCTAGATAAACAATAGATAATATTCTAAGATTTTTTAAAAGTTACTGTTACAATAAATGCCAGCATATACATCTATTTATATACTCCATGTCCAATATTGTCATATCTATTACTATTGTCTTGATACCTTCTGAAATAAAATTTGACTTAAGTAAAGTCAGGTTTTGACTTGTTAGACCTACTGACAGATTGCTAAAAAGAATTTGAAACACAGACTGTGTGTTCATGAAAATATCAGATATTTACTTCTCTTTCTTAATTATAATGAAGTTTACAGATCTGTTCACTTTGAACAAAAATAAAAAATCTTGGATATTCCAACTTCATTATTCCAAAGGAGTTTTTCAGAAAGGACAGAGTTATATCTTCCCATTTCTTAGAAGTGCTGTAGGTTGGGCCCTCACTTCTTTCCTTCAAAACAGAAACCAGGATCAGACTCTGAGAGCAGGGATACCATGCACAGACTGAAAACATAAGGCATAAGAGCAGCAAACAAGTACAAGCTATGTACTGTATAAAATTATCAAAAATCAAGAGGAAAAAAAAAAGATGAAAGAATTACACCTAAGCAAGATCTGAAATGAAGAGCATGTTTTTTAATTCTATTAACTTCACCAAAATATGTTAAAAACAGTATAGAATAACTGCTGGAGCAGGAAAATTAATATTCTTTGGGAATTTTGATTTTTATTTTCTTGCTTATGCAGTGTCTAACAGTAGACTATAATTATATCAAATGTCTACTCATTAATCTTATTTAGTTAGATTTCAGTGAATTTTTGTTTTCTCTTTTGGTCTGTGTATTGATGAAGAAAAACATATTTAAGTAGATGTTTAAAATTTGAGTTGTGGTTCTAAAATTATAACTCTCCGTAAGACAAATGGTTCTGTTTCTTTTCCCTGAGTAGAATCATGATGCTGGGTAGAAGAAATGTCTGAGATTTAGAAAATTGAATAGCAGTGACAAGGTACAGGTAGGGATTTAAGAAAAACGTAAATCTTTTTTTTTCCTCCTGGTCAACATTGACCTTGCCTGATCTTGCCTCAAGGATTCACACCTCTAGGAATTAGGCTAGTGTAATTCTATTTTATGCTGTTCTAGTTCTTACACTGCTTTCATCCGCATAGTATTTCAGTGCCTTCCAGGTTCAACGTTATAATCAGCACAATGAATGCAGTTTTCTTCCTCGCTTCCTCCTTCTGTAGGGAAATAGCATGCACAAGTGCATCAAATGTATGTAGAAGTGTTAATATTACATGTGTATTATACAGATACATACTAGGAAAGGCAAGTTGAAGATACAAGGCTTCCACCAGGAGAAGGTGGTGATGAGGACTGCCATGGTTCTTGGATGCTATGGCTTTCTAAGAAAACTCTGTCTTTTCCACTGATGGAAGGCTATGAAAAATTTTTTTTTTTTTTTCCAAAACCAAAAGAAAGCTCAAGTTCATCAATGAAGAAGACAATGGGATCAAAGCCATCTGGAGTAAGAAAACATCTGTTATCTCCATTGATGTTTGCTTACAGGAATAGGACAGAAAGTTGGCAGAAACATTTCCCATTGGACAAATGAATTTCTAACACAATGAACATATGAAAAGAAATTATGTTGTCAGAAGAATGTCAAAACTCTACAGATAATGCTGATCTATAAACTGAGCACTAAGAAAAAGAACAAATGGTGACAAAATAACCATTTTTTAAAAACACTTTTAAAATTTACAACTTGGTCTAGTAGTATGTAGTTTTATATGTGGACTTAGCATATGTTTCCTCTCTTTCAAGGTCATGTGGTTTTAAAAAATGCCCTTTTGTAGAAATTTACAGTTGCTTGCTTGCTCTGGAGTATGCATGCTTAATCTCTATTTATTATTCCTTTCCCAGCTACTCCTTTTTCTCATTCATCCCCCACCAACTTAGTTGCCTTAGGTAACTGCAAAATGTATCTTCCATATGCAATGAAATCCTATGGAAATGAGGTCTGCCATATATATTCTTTACCATCTACAGAAAGGGATCCTTTTATCCACTGGCCATGAAATTACTCATGCATCTAGCTCTCAGGGCTTGGCTTTACTCATGCATCCTGTTTTTGCAACAAGCGAAACGCAACTGCACTATAGCAGCTCTAATGACAGGTGAGCAACAGAGTCTCCCTTCCAAAGTCTAATTCTCTTCACTTCTGCACCAATGTAAATCTAGAGTAATTTCTAGATCTCTATGAAATTATATTAACATACTTTGAGTAGATACCATATAGTTAAGGAGTAAATTCAAATCTTACAGATTTTTTTCATATTAAAGACTTTTTTGACATGTTGCCAAGTCAGTATTTTCTGCATAGGCTGTTTCCTTGTCCTGTAGTCGACACTAATATAAAGTTCACATGTCATGTTACCATTTCCATAGCCATCACAAACATCTGATTTCTTCAAGAAGGAAAGAGCTATCTAAGGTGAATACTGCAATTTAAATTATCTTTAGAACTCTCAAGAAACAGAGCTAAAAAGTAGAAAATGAAACCTCAATAGGAAAAACATCTTCTGTTTTAAAGGTCTCATCACAGAAAAGGAATTCTATCCAGATGTCTCACATGCTTTATCTACAAAGGCACATTTTCCCTGAAGAGCTAAGTATGCTTTCTATAGGAGGAGCACTTGTAAAGGCTATAGAAATGTCACAAAATACACACTCCCTCAATAACAAAGAGCAACTTCCAAGAATTCCAGTCCTCTCACCTCTCCAAACAGAGTTAATCAAAATCCTCAAACAGAACAGATACTCTCTGGAGAAAACAGTGTAATAATTTCCTGGGATTTTCATTCTGAAATTCAGACAGATGTTGAAGTGCATTATTAAGGCTACCAACATCATTAGATGACTTTGCAATTAAGGATGCTTTGGCCCATCATCAGTCTGACCAGCACATAGAATTAGTCATACTTGCCGTGAGGAGAACATACCAATGTGAACTAAGTTATTTAGGCTATCAAAAGAAACAAAACAGGCCATCTGTGCTCTCATGGTACCATATGTGGTACCAGGTTCTGTGCACTATTACAACCAGACATGGTCCACAATTTAGAACATGTCAATAATTCAACCGTTGTCAACTGCTCATTGAATTTGTCATCATTAAGCACTTAAATACTTCAGCAGTACTTGCTAGCCCTACCTCCATAAAGTAATTCTGGCTTTATTTATGAATGCAGATTTTGGTGTGTTCTGTGTTTAGAGATAGTTTCTCTTGCCCCAGATATTGCAGAAATCAGTATTCTTACTGATATCCAAGTGGTCTATTTACATTGCAATTTTCTTGTCATCAAAATTTTTATCTGAAACATTAAAGCTTGTAGGTGACCACATAATAAGGCATATTTAAACGATGATAAGATAATCTAAGGACTTTTTATTTACTGGAGTCAGTAAACAGCCAGATATATTTATTCCTTGAAGAACCTGTATTGATTTAATCCAACTCAAGATATGCTTTCTGTTAGAATGTAGGTTTTTTCTGCTTTCCTCCCCTCTCAAGACAACCATCCAAAAAGTACATGACTATTTGCAAGGGATGAAATTGCTGGCACTGGAATAGCAACGAGTGTTTCAAAGCAAGGTCTTCTTTCATGCAAGTAATTTCTGAGCAAAGGATTTGCAACTAGCTGGCGAAGCAATTTATGCTTGCAGCAAAGAATTGACATGGTGCTTACCACGTCATCTACATGCACATCGATTTTGCTCTGTGTTACTGCATTTTGCAGAAAATACTCTCTCAGCAAACTGAAAGTTTGTTTTCAGTAATCATGGTGTATACCTAAAACATAATTTGACTCATCTAGCCTATGGTAAAACAAAAGGTCTAAGAAGCCAAGTATAACCACAACAACAATTAAGGTTTCAGAGATATATAGTAAAGGACTTACTGTGATGATTAGCCCTTTTTCCTGGAAATATTTAACCAATGGGATGGCATTCTGCTTGAAATTCATTAGTCTTCTTTGAGTGGCTTTCAGGTTATCATCAGGTCTCCCTTGCTGTTCAGCACGCTTCAGTAACCTTTCTTTCAGCCTTTGACTGGAACATGCCAGAAACACCACCAAATCTGGGGTACAGATCTGTGGAAAGAGCAATTCAAGAAGTCTGTGATTGAGTTGACTATCCAGCACTATAGGACTCAGCAATTCCATTATTAGGTGAGGCTCAGATATCCTACATTTGCAGAAGTTGGGAGTTGATGAAGTCATTCATTTTCTGTTGTTTTTTTAAGGAAAATTTGTAGGCTTAAGAAGGGGCTTGTTTGTCTTATGTGAAGGCTAGTGAATTTGTTTCACCTCAAATGTTAAGGAGAAAGTTTAATGAAAATTTTTTACCTCACCCCCAAAACCTTCTGTAGACTGTGTTCATCATTTGAATTACCAAAAGGTTCCCCTAGATAAAATTAAAATCTTCTAAAAGAGCAAAATATGAATATCTCATATTCTGCAGGAAGATGGTTGTATGTTTTCCATCTAAAAAGTCTTTAAGTAAGGTGGTATTTAAAATCCAGCAGCCACTATGAAGCTAACTGTTGCCTAGGACCAGATCAAAACAGACCTGTTCCAAGATCCACAGTTTCTTATAACATTTTTTCTGTTTCTCTAATCTCACCCAAGCTTCAGTGCACTTTTCAGGAGATTAGGTGTGGCAGCTAAGAGGATTTTAATTTCTGCTATCCTTTTTGGTCTGTGTTGTGAGCACCGTTTTCTGTCACACCCATCCCTGCTCTAAAGTTCAGGAAGTACAACCTTACAGCAATGAGAAAAAAATTTGGGGGAAGTTTAGCTCTTTTCCAGTTAAATTCAAGTTGCCCTTATGGCCTTCAGTGTTCCTCATAACTTTTGGTTACTCAAGCTATCAAACAGTTACAGAACTGATACCTCTGGTGCTTGAGGTGGGGAAAGCAATCACAGTCCCACTTTCTTAGGAATGCTGCTAAATGTTCACAGGCAATCTTCAGAGGTCACCACTATTTAGTACATGTGGTGGAAAAAACAGAAGTCACAGAATCATAGTATCATTTAGGTTGGAAAAGAACTTTAAGATCATCGAGTCCAACCACAAACCTAACACTGCCAAGTCCACCACTAAACCATGTCCCTAAGTCCCACATCTACACATCTTTTAAATACCTCCAGGGATGGTGACTTAACCACTTCCCTGGGCAGCTTGTTCCAATGCTTGACAACCCTTTCAGTGAAGAAATTTTTCCTAATATCCAATCTAAATCTCCCCTGGTGCAACTTGAGGCTATTTCCTCTTGTCCTAAAGTCGCTCAAACACCTGAATTCACAGGATTTAAAAAATGGGGCTACAAGCCAACTGTATCCTGGGCTGCATTAAAATAAGTGTGACCAGCAGGTTGAGGGAGGAGATTCCACCCCTCTGCTCTTGTGAGACCCCACCTGGAGTACTGTGTTCAGCTCTGGGGCCCCCAGCATAAGAATGACATGGACCTGTTGGAGCAGGTCCAGAGAAGGGCTACGAACATCATCAGGGGACTGGAGCACCTCTCCTATGAAGACAGGCTGAGAGAGTTGGTGTTGTTCAGCCTGGAGAAGAGAAGGCTCTGGGGAGACCTTAGAGCAGCCTCCCAGTACCTAAAGGGGGCCCACAAGAAAACCAGAGGGACTTTTTACAAGGGCATGTGGTGACAGGACAAGGGGTAATGGCTTTAAACTGGAAGAGGGTAGGTTTCAATTAGATGTAAGGAAGACATTCTTGACTATGAGGGTGGTGAGGCACTGGACCAGGTTACCCAGAGAGGTTGTGGCTGCCCCATCCCTGGAAGTGTTCAAGGCCAGGGTGGATGGGGCTTTGAGCAACCTGGTCTAGTGGAAGGTGTCCCTGCCCACAACAGGGGGCTTGGAACTAGATGATCTTTAAGGTCCCTTCCAACCCAAACCATTCTATGATTCTATGATATGGTAAGTGTATATTAACTGTATTCATAAGATCTGATTTTGTTCTTTCCTCCACCTTGTTGTTACAAAGAAAACTACCTCTCTTTAAACACTCACCTAAAAATCTTTTTCTCACTAGCTTAGTGTTGCCTTTTAAAACATATTAGAATCCTCTGTAAGAAGCATTTGAGATAAAAACAAACCCTATTGTACTGTGCAAGTTTTTATCCGATTACAGATTAGAAAGGGTTTATTTGTTCTCACATACAACCACAAAGTCATTTCTGCTGGCTTTACTTACCCGAACAAAAAAGTTCATACTTTAATTTTAACTAACATTAGTAAAAAAATTAGCTTACTATTCTAGAAATGACATAATCTAGTTACATTACAAATGATGGTGGATGCTCAAGAATGCTAAAGAGACATTTTTCTCATGATGTTTCCTATCTAAGGAGTAATTTTGTCTTTGTTCAGCTTGATACTATGTAAATTTGATAGTCAAATTTGAGCTATACAAAAGTATCACCAAAACATCTACATGTATTCTAACTACTACTGTGTTAAGAAGGAACTGATTTGTATCTTTATGTTCATTACACAGTTGTTATTAATACATTGCTACTGAGGGCCAGAACAAACCAATTATGCTTCTGAATACTCTCTATATCTGGGTCCCTCTACCCAAGGATGTTAAATTGCCTAGAGACAACCACTAGACTGAATAGTCAAAACTTCACAGGTGGACAATCTGGAAAATTAATAACCATGTTTAAAAAAAAGAAATCCCTTCTAGCTAGGTTTCTGTCATTTGAGGAAATACGACCTGAAGTACAGTCTGGCCTTTTCTCCTGGCAGTCTGAGCGCAAAAAGGTTCTTCTGAAATCAAAAGAAACAAATACAGCTTTTCAAAATTGGGGCGATGGTCATTAGCCTTTACAAAGGAGGTCACTGGCAGAGTAGGATATGGAGATGAGGAAGTAGAAAGTAGCTAAAAAGCAGAGCCATTTTCAAACAATAAAGGACAGTCTGATAAGCAGCACTAGCAAGCAGGGTGGTGGCCTCTCTATCATCACAGAAAATTAAATAGGGTTTTAAAGAAAATCAAATTATTTTTTACGCACATTGTAGATGATTGGAGACATGAGGACACAAACTACAAACCAAACCCCAAAAATACTAATTCTGGTAATTTTTAATGAGTATCTATTAGATTTTGAAGCAGTTAACCTTGTCATCTATTTTTTTTTTTAAATAACTGCCAGTGGGAGAGAAGCTCTCTCCTACCTCTAACACATGTACCTCAATGTCAACAAAACCAGAGTACCTTTCCTCCCCTTTTCAGACTATTCTAAACACATAATTGACAGTTATTCTGTCCTTTCATGAATGAATTATGACAGTTAATTTTACTACCAGATAATAGCTTTAAGGCACATAATTATTCACACAAAAGACTATGAAAGTACGTTTCTGTGTTAGACTTTCATGCAATATGGACATTATTAAAAGTAGCTCTGTTAAATTAAGGTTGTTTCATTAGTAGTAGAAGCATAATGAGGAATTTGGGAATTTAAAGAGCATACAGTAGTAAAGAAATCCAAATTATGATACAGATTCTGAAAGAAAATGCTACAGATTTCAAAGCCTTTTAGGTCATGGAACACTAACTCACAAAAGGGAATGGCTGATGCACATTGCTGTGGACTGAGCACAGAGACATCTCAAGTCCCAGTGTGAATATCCAGCTGATTGGAGCTCCCTAACATACATTACACAGGGACTCAGAAATTATAACTGCAAATCAGGGATCTAGTAACGCGAGGACAAAAGCAGTTTGTACAAGTGAGTAGCTTTATTTAGTATTTCCACTTTGTGGATCCTAATAATAGTGAAGAAAGATGGTAAGATATCTTTAGATGCTCCAAGCTATAGCTGGCCTTCTCCTCACTTTCAACACTCACTCCCAAACATCTTCAGGACTAGCATCTACCACGTATTCAGGTCTGTGACATCATACCAGACCTCCTCAAGTGTAGGACTTAAGCTTTTGCGTATCACATAACTTCACATATAGCATCACACCTTACAGAGAGTACTTAGAATAGATAGATCGCTCATCAAATTATTAGCCCTAAAGGAAAAAGAGGAAGGAGACAAAGGGAAGGTCTCCTTCTGTTTCACACAAGCATGAAAGTGCAGCTTTCCACAGTCAATCTCAGTTCTTTAAAGAAACTGTGGCTGAGTAAGTGCAGCCCCACAGCACGGGAAGAATCTGAATGCCACCACGACACCATCAGCTGTGCAGGTTCTCATCTGCCTAGTTCCCACAAACTGCACTGGCTTCAGGGGTCAGTTCCTTTTTAAGAAAATGGGAAAGCACACCCTGGGCCTAATTTTCTTTTTTTCTAATTGTAAAATGAGGATAATAATGAGGTACAACACAGTAATTACTGTGGAAAATTAAGTAATGAGGTTTTAATTATTTCCTATTGCTTTTTAAAATGGAGAGTTCTCTACAGGAATCGAGTACTGTCATTCTTAATTTTTTGACTAGTAACAGCAACAATACAAAAGACTGTATCTTTAGGAACTAAAACTATTTTTTTCTGACACTCTGGCTTTTATAATTTGAAATACATTTCACTCACAGAAATAAAATGTCAATGAAAACAATGGTTTCAAATTCTCAGTTCAAGAAGCCTAGTTTCAAATGAAGTATTGCCTAAAAGGTTTTCTGTAGTACAAAAAAAAAAAGTAATTCAAGCATATTTGAGGTAGGAATACAAAGCAGATTCTGATTATGTGATGTCCCTTTGAATTCATCTTTTACCTGCAGAATATGCATCTTTATCATCAGAAAGTAGCTGAAAACCATTTAATAAACATAAGCCTTTGCCTGGTTTTAGATGCACAAAAGAGTAACATCTCTTCTCTATCCATAAGTATACAGACCTAATAGCACTTAATATATTTCTCCTACATGCATTTACAACCTGCAGGGTAAACCCTTCAAATGCTATTGAAATTTCACTCCTGTTTTCATGAACCACTCTGTTTCCACTTACCTCAGCTGCACCTGCCTGCAAGACATGCTTATAAATACTTTAACTTGGAATGTAACAGGCTAGTGTGAACATATGGACATCTGGGATTATTTCTCTAAAAACATATCT